AGCAACCCTTTTAATGTCTACATAATTTGTCTTTAACTTACCGGAAGCTTTACCCCAAGACCTAACAGTGTGATTAACCATTAGGGATGATGTTCCTTGCCACTATATTAATTGTATCACATCAATGACGGTATCAGGGATATATACTAATGAATTGACAACTTCAATTAAGAATTGACCCTCACTTTGTGTGAGTTCATTGGAGTATGAACCTTCGTAGAGTGAGGGCCAAACTGTATGAACGTCGGAGCTTGCGACAAAGTGAAAGTCAATTCTTATAATTTTATATCACAATTTCCTACCTCAAAGGATGTAGGCCAAGATCTAAACACAATTTTATTTAGTACGTGTGACTTCATGTTTACACTGACAGCCAAACAACAACCAGCTATATCGCGGAATAAAATAGTTCCCCAAAATGAAAAGAACATGAGCGTATGGATGCACAACTTGCTCTTCAGAAACATCTTACGCAACACATGTGTTCAAATAATATCACCAATAGATGAGAAAGGTCTGTAAAGAACTACCTCTGCAAGTCAGTCACAATGAAAGCGCGTCGTAATACCTTTACATTAAGTACAAGACGTCAAAATGGCCGACACGATAAACGTGACGGGAGGATTTCCGAAGTTGTTAATGAACCTGTAGCGGTTACATGTGTTAGTCATCATTGATCAACTGACCGATTATTGAAAGGTGATTAAAGATGCGTCAAACAGACACCAAGGTAAATGCGTAGATTGCTGGAGACGGTCAATGTCAGCCTAGGCACGGATTGAGTCGATACCACGATAGTTTAGATGTGCATTTCTTCGTTTGTTCATTTGGATAGGCCGGAGCGAGGCTATTCGTGAACAATCATGCAGTCACGCTCTCTGACATTTCTCAATGTAGACTGAAACGCTGAGACCAAGTATAAAGGTTCTAAACGATCAGAAAGAACGCTTATGTATGTTTTCGTGCTAGGGAATTCCCAGGGGTTTCCCAAGGAATGTGGAAGTAGTCCGTCAGAGTTTACGTCATTTCAAGAACACGATTTCGTGAAAAACGTATGAACGTCAAATTGTGTCGTTCATACACTTATGAACGTCAATTTCGCGGTCATGCGACCGACCACTCGTCCAATGGAAAAGCCGTATATCGTGTAAACTTCAAATTAAAGAATTATTACATTGTGAACAGTTGTGTTTAGAACGGGATATCATAATGGGCTTTGACATGCCCCTCTGTGGCGGGGAGACTTTTGCCTAAAAACAAATGTCATCATTTCGTTGCGCGATTTTGATTGGACTATGCATAGACTCGTTAGTCTAGCAAAATGTAACTCCATTATACCAGCCTAGTTCGGCAAGGTTGGAAACTGGACTTTTATAGTCAGTTAACTCTCTTGCTCGGGAAGATGTAAATATACATGAAAAACAGACAGATGGATTGCTTCTATGTTTTATTGCACAACCAGTATGTGCTTCTGTAGTCGGGGACGCTCCATTTGGTTAAAGGTGAAGGTGAACGTCATCTACTTCCTGGCAGCAACACAAGAATTGGCACTGAAGGTGTAGGCGCCTTCTGCGGCCTGGACGGCACCCCTACAATGTAAAGGTTCATCGTGATGACCATTTTCACCTTTTGGATCAATTTACATTTGACTTTCAAATCACAAAAAGTACCGTGGTATTTAATCGTCATATAGGTTAGCTGCAGTTTCGTTACCGGCGATGATTAACCACCATATTCTAATCTGGGATGAACTCTACTTTGATTTGATACTCCTAGTACTAGAATGGAGGTATGAGAGGAATCTCTGTAAGCATATTTTATGCATATACTTACTCAACGCAGTTCAACTGGCACGAGTTGTCGTAGTAGTTGCCGGCGGTGTCACAGACGGGGTCAAGGATGCGGGGACAAAGGCAGTCACAGTTGACAGTGCTGGCTGTGAAGAGGGATGAAAGGTAGAATGATATTTCTATCTTAATACAGGTCCCTCAGCAAGCACAATGAAGTTACAATGAATCTTTTCCACACAATACACACTTTAAATGGACGGCTTTTAATTACTAAAAGTATAGCTATGTGTCGTGGTCCATCCGCTTTGCAGAGTTGCGTCCCTTAGGTACGCAAGAAACCTATGATAGTGGGTTCTAATCCCAGTTCGCACCAATTATGTTTCCAGGTTTGTCGGTACCATATTCATGTTTGTGAGTTTCACCGAAGTGGTAAACGTTTGAGTTGTGGATCACTTCGGGCTTTCCTCCTCCATTCAACTGACACGCCGTCAGCTGACAATTGGAATACCACAAAAGGTGGCGTTAAACTCAACTCACTCCCTCACTGGGATTACTAAATGTAAAACGATAGCTATGAAACTTTATTAGGACTAGGCCGACTCCTTCTGAAACCAACAAGCACGGGTGGGATGCCGACGAACCAAGGATTAATATCAGAACGAATCTGGGATTGAAAACAAATTTGAGAGTATTCTGGCTCTATGGACACATCGACTGACGATTGGGCCAAATGTAAACCCTTGGAAAATGCACAACAGATTCTGGATATACATTGGAATAGAACTTCTAAAACAAAAGTTAAACTCACCGCACAGCACAACAGCAAGAACAGCAAGAATAGCGACAGCCTTCATATTGATGCTATAGGTGGAGCTTCTCTTCCGAACAGGATCAAAGTGTCGAATGGATTGAAATCTCCGCATTTATACACCACACAAGCACACATAAAGAATTAAAGAGATAAATGTCTCCTTAGCCGATTTGTAAGGTATGATTTTAAATTCTCTTAAAACTTTATGTGTTATGCACGAGGTTGTGGTGAGTAGTTGATGTGCCATTACCCAGGTATACCGGACTAGCTGAATGGGTTTACACAAAGCGAGATCGAAGGTTGAAGGCTGTTCTGAAATGTTCAGTTAATCTGAGGATCAAATGAAACAATACCTCTCAGTGGATTTTACCATATGAATGATTTTCAAATAAAAATATCACAAGTTAGACATATTATTTCCCCAAAATGAACTATACCGGCGCTTAGTCAGCACTCAAATAATACTTCTACAAGGTTTTATTATTTTAAATATTTTTTTGGGGATAACTTTTAATTATTTTCCCCCCAAAATCATACGATGCTGGTAATTGGTAACTTAGGAAAATAATTTTTTCTGAACACAATTTTATAACATTTGAAGGAATGGTTGATGGTCAAGTAGGCAAATTTAACAATAGTTCTTTTAATTTTCAATTACAGTAAACTACGGTTATAACGAACACGCTTATAACGAACTAACGGATATAACGAACTAACTTTTTAGTCCCGACTATATGCTGTAGTTATGCTGTATATATGCTTATAACGAATTACGGTTATAACGTTCTAAAATTAGTAGTCCCTTTGAGTTCGTTATAACCGTAGTTAACTGTACACGAAAAAACAAACTCGGTGTATTCTATTTTGCTCCCCAGTTTATATTCATTTTCACGACGTGTTTTGAACTATGTTTGTTTGACAATATCAATTCTACCTTATGACGCCAGTGAGATCTGTATGTTAACTCAAAATGGGAACCATGTCAAATATGACGTGACAAGCAGATGACGTCATATAGGCATAGGTAGGAGGACTAACCGATTTATATGAGTTCTGCAATCAGATGGCTGGATTTTATTAGGATCACATCAAGTTTTTTCCCCACATCATTATACAAATGACATGCATTGACAGGAATGCTAGCTCTATATCGAAACACAGTGCATTTATGTTCCAAATGAACCACCATTGTTGCATATTTATTACAACTGGACCACCCCCGAGATCCAGTGGCTGAGTGTCTGCCCAGAGAGCGGAGGGTCGGGGTTCGATCCCCGGCTGCATCACACCAAATGACGTGAAAAGATTATTTGTTGTTATTCTGTCGGGCACTCAGCATTTAGGGACTTAAACACAAGGACAGGTCCGGCTCGCAGTATACTCTGTCATTGTGTTCATGTCAAACTGAAGCATGGCATCTCAGTTGGCTAGCACTATAAAATCGGCACTGGTCCGAACTAGTGCATGTCGCTTTGTAAGTGCAATACTATTCAACGCGGCGTTAAACGTCATTACGCATCACTTTACCTTTTACAACTGACAGAGGTTGCAAAATCAGAGACTCCATAACATCAGGGTACGCGAAGCGCAATTCGTTGTGGAGAAATAAGCCGATGATGCCAACATCCTGCTTGGAATAATTGCTGCTCACCTCTTTGTGTTATAAGTTATAAGCTGTAAGTTCTATCCTCTGTCATGCTACCATTGTGTAATGGGTTGACCGTTGAGATTGTTTTTTACTCATGTGAATCAAGAGGTGGATGAAGCCATTTTTGTTGTTGTGATTATGCCTTCATGGCAGTGACACGTTAAATAATTATCCAGTTGGATCAATATGTTTCAGACCAATTTTCGTTTACTTGTTTTTTCCACATTCTGCCAACAATATGAGTTCAGTTGTACCAGGCGTCAAAGTATTCCAGCATGACGTCAGCCCATTGCAGAGTGACGACATGTCTGCCTCACAACTGTGAGAGTTCACATCAAGAGAGAGTGCTGCAGAAGATTACAACTTCTGTATTTTGCAATGTCGAGAAACATTTCGTGTTTTCGATTATCGGATGTTATTGAATATTCGATGCCCTGAAATGTTAATATTTGAAACCGGGCATCGAAAACTCAGTAACACCTGCAAGTCTGAAAACAAAGCTCCAAATTGACCCAAAGTGGATGCTATGGCAAAACATGTTGTTTGAATAATAAATATAGTTTTACGTTCACATGAGATTGTTTTTATGTTGATATGAAGTTGGTAGTACGCGACACAAACTACTTATAGCAACCCGGTGCTTGAGGATACAATATATCCTCGACTTAAAAATCGACCGAGGAGCTATATATTACTTGAATTAGTATTTTATGGGCCGTATGTAGTGTATAAATACAGACATTTGAATCCATTCGATACTTTGATCCTGTTCGGAAGAGAAGCTCCATCCTTTGGCATCACGATGAAGGCTGCTGTTATTCTTGCTGTTTTTGCTGCGGTGCTGTGTGGTGAGTTTGAGCTCTGTTTCATCAGTTATATTCAAATGTATCATGCACAATCCCTTGTGCATTTTCCCACGGGTCATAATTGACTCTGTCGCCTGAGATGGAGGAAGTCGCCAGAGTTAGTTGAGTCAGAACCCTCTTATAATTTTTAAGCCCAGATTTTTTCTGATTTCGATCCTTATTAGTGTCACCACCACACCCATATTAGTCAGTTTCAGATGAACCACGTCTGCATGAAGTAAATTTATATCGTTTTACATTTACTAACTAAAAGTCGTCAATTAAAGTGTCGATCAAGGTATATTGTTTGGAAAATATTCCTTGCAAAAACCAAGTGCTTCCTGAGCAATATCATTCTACCCCTCATATTTCTTCACAGCCAGCCATAAAGCTACATAGCTATCGTTTTACATTTAGTAGTCATAGTGAATGAGTGAGTGAGTTGGGTTTAATGCCGCCTTTTGCGGTATTCGAATCATATGATGGCGTGTCAGCTTAACGTGGGAGGAAAGCCCAAAGTGTTGCACGACTCAAACGTTTACCACTTTGGTGAAACGCACGAACATGAGTATAGTGCTGACTAACCTAGAAACATAATCGGGGCGAACCGGGATTCAAACCCACGATCATAGGTTTCTTGCATGCCCAAGGTTCGCAACTCGACAAAATGTTCATTTAAAGTGTGTGACAAGGTAGACTGTGTGGAAAATATTCCTTGCAACAAGCTTATACTTGCTGAGAGACCTGTATCAGGATAGACATATCATTCTATCCTTCATGTCTCTTCATAGCCAGCACTGTCAACTGTGACTGCCTTTGTCCCCGCATCCTTGACCCCGTCTGTGACACCGCCGGCAACTACTACGAAAACTCGTGTCAGTTGAACTGTGTTGAGTAAGTATATCAATGAAATACTTTTACAGAGATACGTCTCATAACTCTAGCGCTAAGAGTGTCAAAGCAAACTAGAGTCCATCCCAAATATAACAGGCTAGAATATAGTCGACTGTAACGAAACCGCAATTAATCCCAATGATGATTAATACGATGGTTCTCTTTGCGATTTGCTAAGCCAACGTAAAAATGTAAAGTGATAACATAAGTCGTAGCACTTATGTCCTTTTGTTTTGAATGGTCATGGTAAAGACATACAATTTAACATTCAACCCCCATTATCTTGACAGTCCTCTCTAAACACCCCCCCCCCCCCCCCCCCCCCCTTGCTTCAATAAATATGTCGTCTAGACTGTGCTTCATTTGACAGCAAAAACATTAATCCAGTAGACAAGGGCAGGAAATTTAATTACCGTGTAACTATGTTTTGGTGTTATTTTTGCCGTGTCTCAAGATTTAATCGCATTGATTGATTTTAATGAAACGATAAATATCCTTTTCTGCCGTAATTAGGAAAAACACATGTTGTGTAATCTAACAAAATTGAAGGGAATGTACCAGTTACAATTTTTCATTCTTCCTCACCATGAACCTTTACATTGTAGGGGTGCCGTCCAGGCCGCAGAAGGCGCATACACCTTCAGTGCCAACTCTTGCGTTGCTGCCAGGAAGTAGATGACTTTCACCTTCACCTTTGATTGATTGTGCAATAAAATATTTAAGTAATCCATCTGGTCATGTCTATGTTTTTATTTATATTCAGTGATACCGTTGAATGTCGACAAGGTTAAATAATTATCAAATTTATCTTGAACTGTATTCCAATTTGACACGACACGACTAGAATGTATTACAGAATGAGGTCAATACATTTGTCTCTGTAGAGTAGGCTGAATACATCTCACATTAAGTCCCCTCAAACAACAAACACGGCATACTCAGATCATAGATTGTCTTGTGAGAGGTGGTCATCACGTAACGTAACGTCACATCACATCACATCAGAGAAAACGTCCATACCCCCTTCAAGAAATAATTCAACCGACTTTTAACATGAACTCATGAGGTACACATGATAGGTAATAACAGGATGTGCGAAGGTTATTCTCTATATTACCAACATATATTTTTCTGAAGAATACAGGAAGATGTGTCTTTTCTGATCCCAATTTGAGACATCAGTCTATTGTATATGTCTGGTATGTTTGTAAAAATATTAGTAGAAATGATAAAATTTTCAACAACGCTGCATCCAGAATGCCATACACAAGTCAGATCGCCTGTGATGTCTGATTAATTTTATATTAACTATAAGGATGCTAAGTATCATACACATATCTAATAGATTTAGGCAATTGTTGTTTATGACTTTATCTAAAGATTGTTGAGAACAAGAGAAGTTATCGGTTTTATTGTCCTTGTCAATAGGTAAATAATCAACATGAACTTTAATGATTTAACTAACTGATTTCCAATCTGCCTGGCAATGAAATCTCCACACAATACAAATTCGAATGAATCGCCATTAGCATGAAGAATGTTGATAAATTGCCTTTCGAGCGTGTCAATTCAATTCTCTTCTCTGAATATACTGGTGAACCCTCAGGGTTGATAGAAACAAACAGAAGGAAATATGTAAGGGGGACAACTCATTCTTCACCCTGAAAGACAGAGCATTATCAGACTCTCTTAAGGAAGTGGGAGATACTAAATATTTCACAGTCGTTAAATAAATTTTGCAAAATATCATGCACATTCATACGCGTTATCTCTATTCACCAAAAAATGTCTCATAATTTGCCAAAGAGAGCAAAATCCGAATACTCAATTTTTGAGAAGAAGCCGTTAATATTCCATGAGCACATGGTGGTAATAACATTTTTTCTAACTGAGGCACTGTTGCCACTCATAATATCAGTTATATTTATGTCTGGTATTGAGGCAGTGTTTTCACTAGGTCTTACCTAACAACAGTTTTGTGTACTTTCTTCTTGATGATGAAAAGTGGTTGAATCTGGTATTCCATCTGAGATCTGGTTAGTATCAACCTGTAGTATCAAGGTTGGTATCTACATTGACACCACCATATTTATGTGCTAGTTCCACAGTCTGTTGTGCAGAGATCTGGTTGTCAAATCTATTATACAGTGTTTGAAATCTGTATTATAATTCAGGTTTGATTTCATATACATAACGGTATGTCCAGAATTATTGTCTGTGACAATGTAATCATCAATCCACGTATCATCGATAACAAACTTGCCATAGCTCATACGCGAGACTTTTTTGTCACCCCTCGCTATCATTATGAAGGTGATCAATTTTGATCTGTCTGTCGCATTCGCTCTGTAAAATCCTCAGACACTCGAAATTGTTCATTTTTTTTCAATTTTTTGTTCAATATGTCAATATTTCAGAATTATCAAAAAAGAAGGTAAATTTGACAATCACATGTCTGTTCCCAATGCGTGATATGCAGTCTTAGGGTACGCTCAATACCATCTTTGCTGGAGGAGCTGATGTTCAGTGACGAGCACATAAAATCCCACACCCTGTTCTCTGTTTCAATCTGACAGCCCATGAAAAGTTGCAACGCCGGGACTGAGCCTCCAGATTATCAGTTTGTATTCCCAAGTCAAAAACATGTACGTGTTTTCTCAACTTCACTTTCTCGTCACGAAACTGGTGTTTTAGCGAGGTAACTAATAGTGGTCTCATTGTCAAGAGTCAAACATTGATCTGAAACATTCTGAAAAGATAACATAGTTTGAACCCTTGTATCCTGAACTGTGGGTGTTATAGATGGACCCTGAGGCAAGTAAGAATGTTAACTACAAAAAAGCAGGCAAAACGCCAAAGGCATCCGACATGATAGCTGTGTACCGAGGTATATGCATGGTGGTTGTCCGCCCCGAGGGACAAAACAACCGACTCGACCTCTCCAAACTGTGATAGCAATGTTTATGTTAGTAAATCCGAATGCTGGCATACTTATCAGGTTGGTAGTCCATGAAATATGTCTGAAACCTTTTCCCAGATCAGAATCACAACACCCACAGTGAACCTAATCACGTGACCATATGTTCACGTCTTTTGATATGACGGGGCAGGGGATTGAACCACGGACCCTTTCACTCTCTCTCTGGACAGATGCCCTATCCTCTACACAACAAAGCCGGTTGACTCCCTATTTGATGGAAATATATACGTTACTGCAACATTGCATTTACGTGCGCCAACATTCCGAACAATTTATGCTCATGCGTGTTGTAGGAGGGGACTGAATGAAGATTGGAATGAAACAATGATGGCAGAGAATGGCCAGTGGTCAGTCAACTCTCTAGTCTGTCCTCCCTTTGTCGTATCCTGTCTGGGTTGATTGGTGAATAAGCAACCCTTTTAATGTCTACATAATTTGTCTTTAATTAACTTACCGGAAGCTTTACCCCAAGACCTAACAGTGTGATTAACCATTAGGGATGATGTTCCTTGCCACTATATTAATTGTATCACATCAATGACGGTATCAGGAATATATACTAATGAATTGACAACTTCAATTAAGAATTGACCTTCACTTTGTGTGAGTTCATTGGAGTATGAACCTTCGTAGAGTGAGGGCCAAACTGTATGAACGTCGGAGCTTGCGACAAAGTGAAAGTCAATTCTTATAATTTTATATCAAAATTTCCTACCTCAAAGGATGTAGGCCAAGATCTAAACACAATTTTATTTAGTACGTGTGACTTCATGTTGTCACTGACAGCCAAACAACGACCAGCTGTATCGCGGAATAAAATAGTTTCCCAAAAGGAGAGGTAACATGAGCGTATGGATGCACAACTTGCTCTTCAGAAACATCTTACGCAACACATGTGTTCAAATTATATCACCAATAGATGAGAAAGGTCTGTAAAGAACTACCTCTGCAAGTCAGTCACAATGAAAGCGCATCGTAATACCTTTACATCAAGTACAAGACGTGAAAATGGCCGACACGATAAACGTGACGGGAGGATTTCCGAAGTTGTTAATGAACCTGTGGCGGTTACATGTGTTAGTCATCATTGATCAACTGACCGATTATTGAAAGGTGATTAAAGATGCGTCAAACAGACACCAAGGTAAATGCGTAGATTGCTGGACACGGTCAATGTCAGCCTAGGCACGGATTGAGTCGATACCACGATAGTTTAGATGTGCATTTCTTCGTTTGTTCATTAGGATAGGCCGCAGCGAGGCTATTCGTGAACAATCATGCAGTCATGCTCTCTGACATTTCTCAATGTAGACTGAAACGCTGAGACCAATTATAAAGGTTCTAAACGATCAGAAAGAACGCTTATGTATGTTTTCGTGCTAGGGAATTCCCAGGGGTTTCCCAAGGAATGTGGAAGTAGTCCGTCAGAGTTTACGTCATTTCAAGAACACGATTTCGTGAAAAACGTATGAACGTCAAATTGTGTCGTTCATACACTTATGAACGTCAATTTCGCGGTCATGCGACCGACCACTCGTCCAATGGAAAAGCCGTATATCGTGTAAACTTCAAATTAAAGAATTATTACATTGTGAACAGTTGTGATCAGAACGGGATATCATAATCGGCTTTGACATGCCCCTCTGTGGCGGAGAGACTTTTGCCTAAAAACAAATGTCATCATTTCGTTGCGCGATTTTGATTGGACTATGCATAGACTCGTTAGTCTAGCAAAATGTAACTCCATTATACCAGCCTAGTTCGGCAAGGTTGGAAACTGGACTTTTATAGTCAGTTAACTCTCTTGCTCGGGAAGATGTAAATATACATGAAAAACAGACAGATGGATTGCTTCTATGTTTTATTGCACAACCAGTATGTGCTTCTGTAGTCGGGGACGCTCCATTTGGTTAAAGGTGAAGGTGAACGTCATCTACTTCCTGGCAGCAACACAAGAATTGGCACTGAAGGTGTAGGCGCCTTCTGCGGCCTGGACGGCACCCCTACAATGTAAAGGTTCATCGTGATGACCATTATCACCTTTTGGATCAATTTACATTTGACTTTCAAATCACAAAAAGTACCGTGGTATTTAATCGTCATATAGGTTAGCTGCAGTTTCGTTACCGGCGATGATTAACCACCATATTCTAATCTGGGATGAACTCTACTTTGATTTGATACTCCTAGTACTAGAATGGAGGTATGAGAGGAATCTCTGTAAGCATATTTTATGCATATACTTACTCAACGCAGTTCAACTGGCACGAGTTGTCGTAGTAGTTGCCGGCGGTGTCACAGACGGGGTCAAGGATGCGGGGACAAAGGCAGTCACAGTTGACAGTGCTGGCTGTGAAGAGGGATGAAAGGTAGAATGATATTTCTATCTTAATACAGGTCCCTCAGCAAGCACAATGAAGTTACAATGAATCTTTTCCACACAATACACACTTTAAATGGACGGCTTTTAATTACTAAAAGTATAGCTATGTGTCGTGGTCCATCCGCTTTGCAGAGTTGCGTCCCTTAGGTACGCAAGAAACCTATGATAGTGGGTTCTAATCCCAGTTCGCACCAATTATGTTTCCAGGTTTGTCGGTACCATAATTATGTTTGTGAGTTTCACCGAAGTGGTAAACGTTTGAGTTGTGGATCACTTCGGGCTTTCCTCCTCCATTCAACTGACACGCCGTCAGCTGAC